CTCTAGAAGCAAAGGACGCGATCATTCGATCGTTGGGCGTCTACATGTGTGGGTCCCGGCCACTACACAAGCTGAGCTTGACGAATGAAATGCTCTTCAAGATCGCTTCTTGGTTCCTCAAGAAGTCCGAGTTGATACGTTCCGCACTCGTCTCGTGTTTAAAGAGGGTGCGCTCCTGTACCCGCGATGCGGACGATTCCTGTGGTGCTCTCCCCTGTCGAAGCCGTCGTCGATGACGAAGGACTCTTTGAGCGATGGGTGCAGCGGCACCGAGAGCTTTTCTTGCTGCACAACTTTCATTTTAGCCACAGGGAGGTGCACCGCGTGTGTAGCGTCATCTTCGCTTTGAGTTTGCAAAACTCAAGCCGGGTCGTAGACTTCCTTCAGATTGTCGCCCTGCGACGGATGGGTTGATCCCTCATGCTCCCGTGAGCTCTGAGGTCTCTTTTACGGGTGAGTCTGCGACCGCAGCAGCTCATGGCCCTTTGGCTTTCCTGGCAAATGCCGAGAAATTCTCGTCTAGAAGAATCCGGCGGACGACGACAACTGGGTAAATAGGCGTCCGGTGATTCGCGATGCTCTTTGATCTCTTGAGAACAAAGTCCGTCACCATCAGGACTCCGTGGAGCATCATGCTGGGGTCGCATAACGCAGCGCGGAAGGCTTTAAGAGCACTTTGTGCACCGACTGCCTTACTTTACGGACTATCGTGCTCCGTCAGAGCGGCTCCTAGCCGTTGAGCAGACGAATACATCGCTTCTTGCGAAAGTTGATAAGGTTGAATCGAGTTTTTGGCGCCTTTGGAGATTGATATTGTTGCGATCCGTGCACAAAACTAGTTGCTGGTCCAGCTTCTGGGTGGTCAAGCGCCTTTGGGCGCCATTCTGTCGCCAACCCGGCTGAAGCGAGCACACGTAAAAAATGGGTGGGTGCGCCTCCATTTCGCAAAATTGAGCTTACATGCAAGGTCCCGCTTGGCCATAACCTTAAAAGATCCAATAAACCGTAGACGGAGCTTCGTCTTGGGCCAGCAAAAATTGCATGAATAGGAGGGTTCTTAGTATTTAATAAAAACAGGTCTCCGACCTCGAAGTTTGTAACATTTCCTCTACCTCTTCCGTCTGCATATTCCATCTGCATGTCTTAGCTTTCAGCCATCACATCGCGAACGTGTCGTAAGTCACTCTTTCTGGATGACAGATAGTCATCGACTTCTTTTCAAACAGTGAAAAGGCTGACATCCGCTAGCCGCTCGGCTATTCCTTCCGCACCGAACCCTGAACTATGGATGGGTGGCGTCAGCGGGACGCGAGGATGAACGAGTCTGTAGACGTAGAACGGCATGTAGTCACTGCATTGTTCAGAGCGAATTCTACGAGTGGCAGCAGCCTCGTCGTCTCGGGGCAGACGCAGCGAAGGACTTCCTTGATGATGCGATTCGCGCGCTCAGTTTGATCACCGGTCTGCGGAAGATCCGTTGTTGACATATTCAGCTTGGTGTCCAGCACCTTGAAAAACGTCGACTGAAACGTCCCAGTGAGGCATGAGTCTTCATCAGAGAAAGTTGATTCCGGGAGTCCATGTTGCCGAATGACTCGATCCACAAACAACTTCGTTCTATTGAGCCCGTCGATGGTGTCCGGTGCCGCCGCATGCTTAAACGGTCGACGAAGATCTCGATACCCGTGTTGCCCGCCAAGTCCTTCGGCAGTCCAAATACAAAGTCCAAACTCATAAATTGCCAACACCCGAGGGGTGCGGGCAAACTGACCAGCGGTGCCACCGCATTCGAAGAAGATTTCAATTTTTGACAAGTCGCACACGTGCGCACATAGGTTTTCGCTCATTTGTACAGCTCCGACCACCAGAATTTGCAATTCAAAGAGCTTTAGATTCCTTCACGACCGAGATGACCACTCAGTGGGGTGTCGCAGGCCTCAAGAGGATATAGTACATCGTGAGGAACCACAAATCGTGGCGTATCCGTCGAGTCGGTGCTTTAATACAGCAATCCATTGTTCAATGAATATCGGTGCAATCTGCACGCAGTCGCGACGACAACTTCTTGCCCAAATTTCCAGCCTCCTTGCCCACGAGAACCTATAGCAGCGCTACGCACATACCATCACCTGCGTATGCGACGCGGGTCTAATCCGTCACGGATGACACCACTATCATGACAGGAGCAACCTTGAAATCTGTTCTGCGTGACAACGCATCATTCTGCTTTCCTGCCTTGAACTTCACCTCAAAGTTATATTATGCGAAGAGGGAGAGACACCTGGCCATCCTTTGCGAGATGTGAAACGACTGAGTCGCAATGCGCAGTGACGCATGATCTGTGTAGATCACGACCGGTCTGGGTCCGAGCAGATGTATTCTGAACTCGACAAGTGCATACTTCATTGCAAGTAACTCCTTGTCGTGAACTGGGTAGTTCTTTTGTGCTGACGAGATTTGAACGCGATCACCCGTTCTCGCCCCTCGGTGTCTGCATGCAGCAGTGCACAGTCAATGGCAAAGTCCAAAGCGTCACAAACGACACTAAAAGGACGATTAGGGTCTGGCAACGCCAGCATTGGTTCATGAAGGAGGCTATTTTTGACCCTGCCAAAAGCCTCCCGATGCTCGGTGTTCAAACACCATTTCGCATCATTTCTAAGAGGATTCGACAATGACCGTGCCATTTCCGCATAATTCTTGCTGTACTTGTGCAAGTAGTTGGCGAGGCCAAGTCACTTGCGCAAGTTCTTTTGGTTCTTTGGAACCGGCCAGTCTACATTACCTTAGCGGGATCCGCTCGAAGGCTGCCATCCCCAAAGAAGTACCTTAAAAAATGGGATGTCTTCGGCGCCAAAGATGCACTTGTCTGCATTATTATTCGTGAGTATGCACTCGAGCACCGCTCTTAAATGATCGATGTGGTCCTCCCGTGCTCCACACGACTGTGGACGAAAATGTCGCCGAATTATGTCTGTGCATACACCTGAACAACTTCGTCACAAGAAAACGATATGTTGCTGGTGCATTTGACAGCCCTTGGTGCATACAACCCACTCCCAGAGCATCCCTCTTGGAGTACTCACCGCTGTCAGCGTGATATCACTCGCACTCTTGAGCAATTGGTAATACCTATCGAGCAATTCGAGTGAACTGTATTTGTTCAGCCAACCATATTGTGGCTCGGGAACATCCTTCCTAGCAATCGGCGTCTGTGCTGGGATGGTGGCAATGTCTGGCTTTCGGACACAAACCGTGGGTGTCGAATGGGGAGACATGCTCTCACACACCATTCCTGCGTCTTGCTTCGCACGGAAGAAGTCATCAATGACGTCACAATGCTCCTTGGGCAGGGGCCATTGGCGTGTTCCGCAATGTTTGGTTTCCGGAGTCAGGTCGATCTGCCTCGGTCCGGAGGTAGGACCAACGGCGTGTCTTAGGAGACGACGTCTTGATCACAATATACTTCTCCAAACGTAACTGCAACCTTAACCCTTCGCCAAAGGATCCGAGGAATTCTTCAGAATGATCCACTTCGCACGCCCAGCACCCTCGTGGTGTCCTACGGAACAGCTTCATCCAGAAGAGACGACGAGTTGATCTCCTCTTCCGATTATATAATGACCACTTCGGCTAAGTCGCCTGCATTCAAGGCATCGCCGATTTCTCCGAAGTACACTTCGTCCAGCTCAGGAAGAGCATCCACGCGGGAATAGCCGAGAGGGTGACGTCGCCGTCTTCTTCTCCCGTCATACCGTTGACAAGGGTGTACAGCTTGTGCGCTATCGTCTACGGTAGAGGCACCCTGGGCCAGGGTCGACACCCAGCGTCTTACAGCAAGAATACGGCGTCGCCGTCGCCTCTCCATAAAGGTTGCACGTCTCGGCAAGACCTGTGGGATCACACACTCAGCGTCCACCAGTGTTAGCCTCACTTCCTGCTCCAGCAGAGCCCTGATGTTATTAACAACATCCGACGAGGAGTTGCTAGCTCTAAAGTCTTCGTTTAGTGAATAACGATCAACTCCACGCGCATCTGAAGGGCCTTGTCCAAGACGCCTCGGACCTCGCCCAACCATGCCACGCATATGCAGCGACAGCTCCGACACTTGAGCAGCGCTCAGTGGGTAACGTGCCACTCCTGGTTTAGCCCGCGAGCCATGCTCGGGACTCCTGTCCGATAAACCTTCGATGTTCGACAACTCGGATTATCGGATCTCCAGCACGTTGACAGTCCCGGTCCAGTGCCAGCGTCAATGGCGTTTCTGCCTCCTAGCAGAGGTGAGTTTATGACTCACAAAAGCTCCACCAGGTGACGTGCGCGTGCACCCAAGGTCATCGACCCTCAATCAATCAATGGTTCATGGTGTTCCAACCATACAATACCAAGGATGAGGTCGTAACCTGAAGCCAAGTCTTAGACTAAGCAGCTTTCCACGCTATCAAAGTCAAGAAACTTGACAACGAGGCTCAGTGGTCTACAGGAATCGTCGGCATCGTGCCACATGTCCCCGTCTCTAAGCGAACAGAAAGTATGTCACTCTACCGCGCTTTTGGCGCCTCAGCATACAGCTGACTTCATTCTATCGTGGAGCATAGAGCATAAGTGCCCGACACCAGGAGTCATACAGAATCTTCCATAGCATCTCAAAGCCCTTCACGATCGCTATCACGACAATCAAACCCAGCTTGCATACACGTTCCGTTTTCAAGTGCACGGAGCTCACAATGGCTAGGTTCTGCTGCCTTTTAACTCTTTGAGGCTCAAGAAAACTCAGCTCTTCCCCAGTAGGGCGCCCCGCGCCTACTGGGTGTTGTCGTTTCCCCGCGACAAACCAAAAGTCTGGTAAGAAGCGGGACGTCAGCTCGATGAACCATGACGCACCTTGCGCAGGGAACAACCAGTATGAGCGTGCGACTTCACAGACAAAACACCGTCGGGTTATCGAACGCTGCTCGGCAGATTGGAGCTCTTCTTCCTCTTTCCGCTGAACTGAGATCCATTGGTTGAGGCCCGCTCGACGAGCTCTGAGGGTGTAATATCGACCAAGTCGTGTCGACTTGAAGTTTACTTCGGCATACAATGCCACGATCACCGCTTCTTCAAAAAAAGACGGGTGCACACGGAAGACTTCCATTCTGGCCTCAACAGCGCGGAGGCTTTCCATAAAGACGGCAGTGGGAGCGACTTGGTGGTGTGGTAACATCAAACTTACTCAAGTATATTTAGCTTGACCGGCCTGTGGTGATGACATTGGATTGTAGAATCGATATGACTTTGAATTGGATGAGTCCAAGGTAAAAAAGAAGTTTAATTTTTCGAAGTCAGTTTAAAAGTGTTGTCTGCTTAGACAAGAACCTGTCCATTCGTCCTTTTTATCTAAGCGAGAGGCACGCATCGCTTTTTCTGAAAACGGCATACTGCTCGGCAAGAGCTATGCATAGGCTACCCAACATGTTTATTCGAATCAAATGTTCTGATTTGGCGATATGTGCCAATCCGAACATGGTAGCCGTCACACGTTGTTCTTCTTTCCAAACTAAAGAACTCGGCGCTAGCTAGAAATTATATGAGTTTCCTGGTGGTGAGATTTTTCTCAGCATAATTGCTTACATTCCATCAGATGTCCACGCTTTCCAGTTGCATAGCTGTGTCTTGCGCATCATGATCGATAGGTGGCAAAAATGAGGGTGAAGGAATTTTGGATAGGTTGGTCGGAATAATGATGGGGAATGCGTTTTCGCGTTTCCTTGTATTGCATAACACACTAGTGACGTGTAAAGTGATACAATGGTTTCAAGTCTATATGTAAGACTATGAATATTTTAAACTGACTCGAGTATATGCGATTGTTGGGAACGGTCAATCATCGTACATTCTCGCCGCAAGATGCACAAATTCCGTATCCGTATAAGCATCTTCTCCTCGATTACGTTTTGCGCGAATTTTGAAAGGACAAAGAGGTTCAAGCCTCAGTGTGATTGACAGAAGCCATGCATAACAACGTCAGACAAAGCGCAATGGGGAGATCTTGAACGTATTTCAACAGCGCATTTCTATAGCTAGTGTGCGCGTCCAAGCGGTGTTGAACGTCGAAAATTGGTTTCGACACTTTCAAAAGATCTGAATATTCGAATAAAACCGCTGGCATTCCGATTTGGACTCCTTGCTCACATCCTTAAATTCGTTCTCGTAATTTCTCTTGCTGTATGTAAGGCTATCTAGTTTTTTAAAATTACCACTGATTTTAAGTTCGTCGTGATTGATAATTTATGGCTCGGTGTTAAATTGCGGTTTCTGACTTTGACTTGAATCGCCGTAGAACTTATCGCTCCTCATAAGACTGCGGCCAACGGTATCGACTAACAAAAGAAAAGAGTTTGTTTGATAAATTTGTCATTGACGACGTCAATCACATCTTCGCTGTTGTCAAGAAGAGAATATTCTCTTTGTCTTTGCCATTGTCAGCAGCCACGATATTGCAATAACAGTGTACTTGACTGAGGACGGTTTGCATTGAATCCAGCTGTAGCGGTCGGAAGTCGAAGTCGGAGGCAAGTCGGAAAGAA